CCAGCTCTGTTTGTTCCCCTCAAGACTGCTTTGGCTATTTGGGGTCTTTTGTGTCTCCATACAAGTTTTAAGATTTTTTGTTCTAGTTCTATAAAAAATGCCATTGGTAATTTGATAGGGATTGCATTGAATCTGTAGATTGCTTTGGGTAGTATAGTCATTTTCACAGTATTGATTCTTCCAATCCAAGAACATGGTATATCTCTCCATCTGTTGGTATCATCTTTAATTTCTTTCATCAGTGTCTTATAGTTTTCTGGATACAGGTCTTTAACCTCCTTAGGTAGGTTTATTCCTAGGTATTTTATTCTTTTTGTTGCAATTGTGAATTGGATTGTTTGCTTATTTTCTCTTTCTGATCTTTTGTTGTAGTGTATAGGAATGCAAGAGATTTCTGTGCATTAATTTTGTATATTGCAGCTTTACTAGATTCATTGATTAGCCCTATTAGTATTCTGGTGGCATCTTTAGGATTATCTGTGTATGGTATAATGTCATCTGCAAACAGTGACAGTTTTATTTCTTCTTTTCCAGTTTGTATTCCTTTTATTTCTTCTCTGATTGCTGTGGCTAGGACTTCCAAGACTATATTGAATAATAGTGGCAATAGTGGACATCCTTGTCTTGTTCCTGAACTTAGAGGAGGTGCTCTCAGTTTTTCACCATTGAGTATGATGTTTGCTGTGGGTTTGTTGTATGTGGCCTTTATTATGTTGGGATCCTTTCCCTCTGTGCCCACTTTCTGGAGAGTTTATATTATAAATTGGTGTTGAATTTTGTCAAATGCCTTTTCTGCATCTACCGAGATGATCATATGGTTTTTCTTCTTCAGTTTGTTAGTATGGTGCATCATATTGATTTGCATACATTGAAGAATCCTTGCATTCCTGGGATAAATCCCACTTGATTATCATGTATGATCCTTTTAATGTGTTGTTGGATTCTGTTTGCTAGTATTTTGTTGCATATTTTTCATCTATATTCATCAGTGATATTGGTCTATAATTTTCTTTTTTTGTAGTATCTTTGTCTGGTTTTGGTATCAGGGTGATGGTGGCCTCATAGAATGAGTTTGGGAGTGTTCCTTCCTCTGCAATTTTTTGGAAGAGTTTGAGAAGGATGGGTGTTAGCTCTTCTCTAAATGTTTGATAGAATTTACCTGTGAAACCATCTGGTCCTGAACTTTTGTTTGTTGGAACATTTTTAATCACAGTTTCAATTTCATTACTTGTGCTTGGTCTGTTCATGTTTTTTGGTTCTTCCTGGTTTAGTCTTGGAAGCTTATACCTTTCTAAGAATTTACCCATTTCTTCATGGTTGTCCATTTTATTGACATAGAGTTGCTTATAGTAGTGTCTTAGGATGCTTTGTATTTCTGTATTGTCCATTGTAACTTCTCCTTTTTGACTTCTAATTTTATTGATTTGAGTCCTATCCCTCTTTTTCTTGATGTGTCTGGGTAAAGGTTTATCAATTTTGTTTATCTTCTCAAAGAACCAGCTTTTAGTTTATTGATCTTTGCTATTGTTTGTTTCTATTTTATTTATTTCTGCTCTGACTTTATGATTTCTTTCCTTCTGTTAACTTTGGGTTTTGTTTGTTCTTCTTTCTCTGGTTCCTTTAGGTGTAAGGTTAGATTGTTTATTTGAGATGTTTTTTGTTTCTTGGGTGAGATTGAATTGGTATAAACTTCCCTCTTAGAGCTGCTTTTGCTGCATCCCATAGGTTTTGGATCGTCATGTTTTCGTTGTCATTTGCTTCTAGGTATTTTTCGATTTCCTCTTTGATTTCTTCAGTGATCTCTTGCTTATTTAGTAATGTATTGTTTAGCCACCATGTGTTTGTGTTTTTAATGTTTTTTTCCCTGTAATTGATTTCTAATCTCATAGTGTTGTGGTCAGAAAAGATACTTGATATGATTTCAATTTTCTTAAATGTACTGAGGCTTGATTTGTGACCCAAGATGTGATCTATCCTGGAGAATGTTCCATGTGCACTTGAAAAAGAAAGTGTAATCTGATGTTTTTAGATGGAATGTCCTACAAATGTCAATTAAATCTGTCTGGTTTATTGTGTCATTTAAAGGTTGTGTTTCCTTATTAATTTTGTGTCTGGATGATCTGTCCATTGGTGTAAGTGAGGTGTTAAAGTCCCCCAGTATTATTGTGTTACTGTCCATTTCCTCTTTTCTAGCTGTTAGCATTTGTCTTATGTATTGAGGTGCTCCTATGTTGGGTGCATATATATTTATAATTGTTATAACTTCTTCTTGGATCGATCCCTTGATGATTATGTAGTGTCCTTCCTTGTCTCTTGTAACATTCTTTATTTTAAAGTCTATTTTATCTGATATGAGTATTGCTGCTCCAGCTTTCTTTTGATTTGCATTTGCATGGAATATCATTTTCCGTCCCCTCAGTTTCAGTCTGTATGTGTCCCTAGGTCTGAAGTGGGTCTCTTGCAGACAGCATATATATGGGTCTTGTTTTTGTATCCATTCAGCCAGTCTGCGTCTTTTGCTTGAGGCATTTAAATATTCACGTTTAAGGTAATTATTGATATGTATGTTCCTGTGTTTTTAATTGTTTAATTCTTAATTGTTTTGGGTTTGTTTTTGTAGGTCCTTTTCTTCTCTTGTGTTTCCCACTTAGAGAAGTTCCTTTAGCATTTGTTGTAGAGCTGGTTTGGTGGTGCTGAATTCTCTTAGCTTTTGCGTGTCTGTAAAGCTTTTGATTTTTCCATCAAATCTGAATGAGATCCTTGCTGGGTAGAGTAATCTTGGTTGTAGGTTGTTCCCTCTCATCATTTTAAATGTATTGTGCCACTCCCTTCTGGCTTGTAGAGTTTCTGCTGAGAAGTCATTTGTTAACCTTATGGGAGTTCCCTTGTATGTTGTTTGTCATTTTTCCCTTGTTGCTTTTAATAATTTTTCTTTGTCTTTAATTTCTGTCTTGATTACTGTGTGTCTCAGCATGTGTCTCTTTGGGTTTACCCTGCCTAGGACTCTTTGTGCTTCCTGGACTCGGGTATTTCCTTTCCCATGTTAGGGAAGTTTTCAACTATAATGTCTTTAAATATTTTCTCGGGTCCTTTCTCTCTCTCTCCTCCTTCTGGGACCCCTATAATGCGAACGTTGGTGCGTTTAATCTTGTCCCAGAGGTCTCTTAGGCTGTCTTCATTTCTTTTCATTCTTTTTTTCCTTATATGTTCTGCGGCAATGAATTGCACCATTCTGTCTTCCAGGTCACTTATCTGTTCTTCTGCCTCACTTATTCTGCTGATGATTCCTTCTTGAGTATTTTTCATTTCAGTTACTGTATTGTTCATCTCTGTTTGTTCTTTAAGTCTTTTAGGTTTTTGTTGAACATTTCTTGCATCTTCTTGATCTTTTTTTTTTTTTTTTTTTGCGTTACGTGGGCCTCTCACCGTTGTGGCCTCTCCCGCTGCGGAGCACAGGCTCCGGATGCGCAGGCCCAGCGGCCATGGCTCATGGGCTCAGCGCTCCGTGGCATGTGAGATCCTCCTGGACTGGGGCACGAACCCACGTCCCCTGCATCAGCAGGCGGACTCCCAACCACTGAGCCACCAGGGAAGCCCCATCTTCTTGATCTTGCCTCCATTCTTTTTCTGAGGTCCTGAATCACCTTCACTATCAGTATTCTGAATTCTTTTTCTGGAAGGTTGCCCATCTCCATTTAATTGTTCTTCTGGGGTTGTATCTTGTTCCTTCATCTGGTACATAGACCTCTGCCTTTTCATTTTGTCTATCTGTGAATGTGGTTTTTGTTCCACAGGCTGCAGGATTGTAGTTCTTCTTGCTTCTCCTGTCTACCCTCTGGTGGATGAGGCTTTCTAAGAGGCTTGTGCAAGCTTCCTGATGGGAGGGACTGGTGGTGGCCAGAGCTGGGTGTTGCTCTGGTGGGCAGAGCTCAGTAAAACTTTAATCTGCTTGACTGATGATGGGTAGGGCTGGGTTCCCTCCCTGTTGGTTGTTTGGCATGAGGCGACCCAGCACTGCAGGCTGCAGGCTCTTTGGTGGGGCTAATGGCAGACTTCGGGAGGGATTGTGCCAAGGAGTACTTCCCACACCTTCTGCTGCCAGTGTCCTTGTCCCTGTGGTGAGCCACAGCCACCCCCTGCCTCTGCAGGAGACTCTCCAACACTACCAGGTAGGTCTGGTTCAGTCTCCTATGGGGTCACTGCTCCTTACCCTTGGTCCCGATGCACACACTACTTTGTGTGTGCCCTCCAAGAGTAGAGTCTCTGGTTCCCCCAGTCCTGTCGAAGTCCTGAAATCAAATCACCCTAGCCTTCAAAGGCTGATTCTCTGGGAATTCCTCCTCCCGTTGCTGGACCCCCAGGTTGGGAAGCCTTATGTAGGGCTCAGAACCTTCACTCCAGTGGGTGGACTTCTGTGGTATAAGTGTTCTGCAGTTTGTGAGTCACCCACCCAGCAGTTATGGGATTTGATTTTATTGTGATTGCACCCCTCCTACCATCTCATTGTGACTTCTTTGGATGTGGGGTATCTTCTTTGGTGAGTTCCAGTGTCTTCCTGTTGGTGATTGTTCAACAGTGAGTTGTGATTCCTGTTCTCTCACAAGAGGGAGTGAGCGCATGTCTTTCTACTCTGCCATCTTGAACCAATGTCCCCAAGACTGAGATTTTCAAAGTCAGTGGACCCACACCAAATAACAAGGTAAATGAGGTAAGATAAAATTTATTACCATACAAGATAAAATATCATAACTCAGAAGATTAAAAAAAATGCTTCCAAAAGAAATTTCACACCAGGTTCCCTAGTTAAGGAGAGTGAGATAGCCAGACTTTTGTAGCATCTTTGGATGCTATGAATCAATGTGGGGATGCCTTCAAAATGATATATGAAGTGTCAGGGTTGGAGAGTAAAATTTTAGATAGGTTGACCAGAGAAGGGCTTTTAAATAAAAATCTGAGGGATGTGAGGTAGCTAGATATCTAGATATGTAGATATCTAGGAGATGAGCATCCTAGGCAGAGCGACCACAAGTGCAGAGATCCAGAGGCAGCAGTGTTCTCGGTGTTTAATCAAGGGAGCCAGTGTGACATCAGCAAAGAGAGCAAACGGTGAGTAGTAGGGGATGAAGTCAAGGGGTAAGGGGCTCAGGTCATGTAACTGCTTGTGTATCATGATTTACTGAATGAGATGAAAATCCATTTGAAGGGTTTGAGCAGAGTGGTGATATAATCTGCTGTGCGCTTTAGCACCTAGAGGGATTCTTTTCTGTTAAGAAATGACTGGGTGACAGGAGCAAGGGCAGTGAGGAGGTTACTGTAGTAATCCAGGGAGAGTTCACAATGGCTTGGATCAGAGTGATGACAGTAAAGATGATGAAAGGTAGTTGAATTTGGAATCTTTCTTTGAAGGTGGACTTGGCAGGATTGCTGTCAGATCAGATGTGGGGGAGGAGGGAAAGGGGGAGAGAGAAACAGAGAGAGAGGTCAAATCACATGTGAAATTAAGGTTTTTTGGCCTAAGTAATTCCTGAATGAAATGACCACAAACTGAATTGCAGAAGGCATGGGGGTGAGGCAGCAATATTTGAAGCTTACCTTTAGACATGACTTCAAACCGTTTGATCTTTGCCAGTCTGAAAAGTGAAGAAAAAAAAATCTCATTTTAATTTTCATTCTTCTTACTATGAGTGAAATTTTAACATTTACATTTTCTTGTGACTCATCTGTTTTAATTAGTTAATTTTGGAGAGGCATTTATCTCTTGGGTGGTTCTTTTTCTTTTGATTTGTAGGGATCCTTTTTATAAATTAATAAATTAACCCTTTGTGATATTTGTTGCAAAAATCACTCTGCCCCAGTTGTTTTTATTTTTAAAACTTGGCTCATGGTGTTTTTGTGCAGTTCAGATTTTGTTGTTGTTGTTGTTGTATTATTGAGTTAATCAGTCTTTTACAGTGTCAGAGTTAAGGTCATACTTAGACTTTTACCCTAATATCATTAAAGAAAACTATATATATTTTTGCTAGTACTTTTGTGTTTTTATTTGCATTTAAATCTTCAATCCATCTGGATGTTAAATGAAATGAAAAGCTGTCCTAGGTGATGGGCTTGTTGAAGGGATGCTCTGGGAAGTCAGGATGTTACTGCAGAGTCTCAGTGCTTACCAGATAGAGAAGGTCTCAAGAAGAGCTTCAGCAAAAGACACAGTAACAGGGACTACCCTTTTCTCAGACTTCTTATAGTTTTCCTCACTTAGGATGATTTGATACCAGTATAGCTCAGAACAGTAGTTCCCAGACTTAAAAAAAAAAAAAATTATTTACTTATTGATTGATTGATTGATTGGCTGCATTGGGTCTTCATTGCTGCGTGCGGGCTATCTCTAGTTCTGGTGAATGGGGGCTACTCTTCGTTGCAGCTGCGGGCTTCTCATTGCGGTGGCTTCTCTGGTTGTGGAGCACGGGCTCTAGGTGCGCAGGCTTAAGTACTTGTGGCATGCAGGCTCAGTAATTGTGGCTTGTGGGCTCTAGAGCACAGGCTCAGTAGTTGCATCGCACGGGCTTAGTTCCTCCACTGGCATGTGTCATCTTCCCAGACCAGGGCTTGAACCTGTGTCCGCTGCGTTGGCAGGCAGATTCTTGACCACTGCATCACCAGGGAAGCCCTAGTAGTTCTCAAACTTTTGGGCTGAATCAGCATCATCTGAAGGGCTTGTTAAAATACAGACTACTAAGCCCCACCTCCAGAGTTTTATTCTCTGGGCTTGGTGTGTAGCCTGGGAGCTTTCATTTCTAACAAGGTCTCAGGTGATACTGCTGGTCCCGGGACAACATTTTGGCATAGGGGATCTGGACTTAAGGTCTGGAATCAGAAGGTTTGAATTCAAATTGCTGTTCTGGTATTTAATAGCTCTGTGATTTAGAGTAGGGTTTTGTTTTGTTTCGTTTCCTGTCTCCTCTCCTTCCCCAACAAGCCAGATTTTCCTTTCCTTGAATCGAGGTGTGTATTTCTTTCTCTTTTTTTTTTTAATATTTATTTTATTTATTTATTTAGGCTGTCCGGGTCTTAGCTGCAGCACGTGGGATCTTCGTTGCCGCGTGCAGGATCTTTTAGTTGCAGCATGCGGGCTTCCTAGTTTCGGCATTTGGGCTTCTTAGTTGCAGCATGCATGCGAGATATAGTTTCCTGACCAGGGATTGAACCCGGGCCCCCTGCATTGGGAGCATGGAATCTTACCCACTGGACCACCAGGGAAGTCCCGGGGTGTGTATTTCTTAAAGCTGTGAGGAGACTAAAAGAAATACTGTATTTGAAGTAGTTAGCATATCCTTGAAATATGGTAATTGCCACTAATAAAGTTGCTGATGCTTTTATCGAGCTCTCTTTTTGGTTACAGTGCCAGCGCTATCCAATAAGAATATAATATGAGCAACATGTAATTTAAAATTTTCTAGTAGCCATATTTTAAAAAGTAAGCAAAACAAAACAAACAAGGTGCAATTGACTTTAATTATTTTAATCCAATATATATGAAATATTACAAAATATAATCAATATAAAATTATTAATGAGATATTTTACATTCTTTTCTTCATAACAAGTCTTTGAAATTTGGTGTGTACTTTATACTTACAGCACATCTCAATTCAGACTGAACAAATTCCAAGTGCCTAATAGGCACACGTGGCCAGTGACACCTATTTTAGACAGTGCCAGTCTAACCAGCATTCCTCTTCACCCAGTCTTCCTGGCCTCTTCCATTATGTCTAGCCTTACTTCAGGTAGCTGATTCTTGGTCTAATTAGTTATAGACTTGGAAGTGAAGCTTATTGTTTCACTTGATGTGGAAAGAATGATTCTGGGCATGACAAGTGTCCTTGAGCTAGGTATAGGCTTTTTAGTCTCTTAAGAGATGAACCGGGGACAAGAGTTTGTATTCCTGAGAATCAGTTTCCACCAAGGATAGCTGGCTTCATTAGAACCCAATGTCTTGTAAGTTCTGCAGGCTTGAGTATTTCTTCCTGAAAGAGTGGCTGTGGAAACTGTCAGAGTTACCAGGAATAGCCCTGATTCTTAAAAGCATGTCTTGTCATTGGTTTCTAGAACTCAGCCCCTTGACTCATGGGAGAGGCATTTCCCTTCTGTGTGTCTGTGGAGGCTCTTCCTTGTGAAGGAAGATACCCTTAGGACTTGTGATTGCATTTTTTTAAAATAGATATTTATTGGAGTATAATTGCTTCACAATACTGTGTTAGTTTCTGTTACACAGCAAAGCGAATCAGCCATATGCATACACTTGTCCCCATATCCCCTCCCTCTTGAGCCTCCCTCCCACCCTCCCTATCCTACCCCTCTAGGTCATCACAAAGCACCAAGCAGATCTCCCTGTGCTATGCTGCTGCTTCCCAGCAGCCAGCTGTTTACATTTGGTAGTGTATATATGTCGATGCTACTCTTACTTTGCCTTAGCTTCGCCCTCCCACCCCATGTCATCAAGTCCATACTCTATGCCTATCTCTTTATTCCTGCCCTGCAACTAGGTTCATCAGTACCATTTTTTTTAATTTAAAGATTCCATATATATGCAGCATACCGTATTTGGTTTTTCTCTTTCTCTTTCTCTACTTCACTCTGTATGACAGATACTAGGTCCATCCACCTCACTACAGATAACTCAATTTTGTTTCTTTTTTTTTTAACACCTTTATTGGAGTATAATTGCTTCACAATCGTGTGTTAGTTGCTGCTTTATAACAGAGTGAATCAGCTATACCTATACATATATCTCCATATCTCTTTCCTCTTGCGTCTCCTTCCCTGCCACCCTCCCTATCCCAACCCTCTAGGTGGTCACAAAGCACCGAGCTGATCTCCCTGTGCTGTGCGGCTGCTTCTCACTAGCTGTCGATTTTACATTTGGTAGTGTATGTATGTCCATGCCACTCTCTCACTTTGTCCAAGCTTACCCTTCCCCGTCCCCATGTCCTCAAGTCCATTCTCTAGTAGGTCTGTGTCTTTACTCCTGTCTTGCCCCTAGGTTTTCTGTAACTTTTTTTTTTTTTTTTAGATTCCATATATATGTGTTAACATATGGTATTTGTTTTTCTCTTTCTGACTTACTTCACTCTGTATGACAGACTCTAGGTCCATCCACCTCACTACAAATAACTCAATTTCGTTTCTTTTTATGGCTGAGTAATACGCCATTGTATATATGTGCCACATCTTCTTTAGCTGTTCATCTGTCAGTGGACACTTAGGTTGCTTCCATGTCCTGGCTATTGTAAATAGAGCTGTAATGAACATTGTGGTACATGACTCTTTTTGAATTATGGTTTTCTTAGGGTATATGCCCAGTAGTGGGATTGCTGGGTCTTATGGTAGTTCTATTTTTATTTTTTTAAGGAATCTCCATACTGTTCTCCATAGTGGCTGTATCAATTTACATTCCCACCAACAGTGCAAGAGTGTTCTCTTTTCTCCACACCCTCTCCAGCATTTATTGTTTGTAGATTTTTTTGATGATGGCCATTCTGACTGGTGTAAGGGGATGCCTCATTGTAGTTTTGATTTGCATTTCTCTAATGATTAGTGATGTTGAGCATCCTTTCATGTGTTTGTTGGCAATCTGTATATCTTCTTTGGAGAAATATTTATTTAGGTCTTCTGCCCATTTTTGGATTGGGTTGTTTGTTTTTTGGATTGGGTTGTTTGTTTTTTGGATATTGAGCTCCATGAGCTATTTGTATATTTTGGAGGTTAATCCTTTGTTGTTTCATTTGGAAATATTTTCTCCCATTCTGAGAGTTGTCTTTTTGTCTTGTTTGCGATTTCCTTTGCTGTGCAAAAGCTTTTTTTTTTTTTTTTTTTTTTTTTTTGTTTTTTTTTTTTTTTTTTGCGGCGTGTGGGCCTCTCACTGTTGTGGCCTTTCCCGTTGCAGAGCACAGGCCCCGGATGAGCAGGCTCAGTGGCCATGGCTCACGGGCCCAGCCGCTCCGCGGCATGTGGGATCTTCCCGAAACGGG